TGTGAGAGATTTTACCTGTTTGCTTTCTTAGGCTTGAGCTCTCTCTTGTAGCAATTCTTCTGGGTTTAGTGTCACCACAGAATGTATAGTTATTTTTTGCTTCAAACTGTGAAAAGCATCTATGCAATTAAGTCTCAGTGTTTCAGGAGAGCTGGGTATGCTACTTTATATGTAAAATGTAGGATTTGTAAAATGTTTCTGCATCAATTCAACTTTATTAAAGCCTAAGAGGGACCAATGAGGTAGTAGAGCCTGGGGGACTTCCTAAACTTTGCGACTGCAGCAGAAAAGAGGCCAGAGAGGAGCTGGGGGCTGCCTGGCACAGGTGTGGGAAAGCAGCACTGCAGATCCAACAGTCTTGGCTCTGAGCACATCACAGAAACTGCATGCAAAACCAATGTGGGTGACTTTCCGGAGGGTCAGTTCACAGTAATACGACTTAAACTTTCCTTAATCTGAAGTAGTGAAAAATTTGTATTGTAACCATAAATAGGTTACACTGCTCTTTTTGTCACAGAGAAAGAACTATACTCTCAATATCCATCAGGAAGACAACAATTAACATCCAGGAACTGAGAAGTTATAATAGATCCCCACTGCAGTGACAAGCCTTTACCTATCCCATCGTCCTTATTTACTCTTTCTTTTTATTGTTATAGTGGCAAATTAAAAAAAAAAAAAAAGGAAACAAATAAAACAAATAATAATCACTGAACAACAGCATTGCCTGACAGCATTCTCTTTTATTTTATTAGTAAGAGAAATACGTCAACTAAAATTGCTTAGAATCTCATATTATACTGCCACTCATCATAAATGTCAGTTATACATATATCATCACTTTGCATACAGAGCCTTCACAAACAAAAGTAAATTGTTAGGCCATGAGCAATGCAGAATATGTCCTTCACTGATGGAAGAGAATGGATGCTAACCATCATTACTGTGCCCTTATACATTAATTCATTTCTTTGGGCACCAAAATATTTTTTAAATAGTTTCATAACTTATAAAACCTCATTTTGAGTTCATCCGCAAAACCTGAAATGAACGAACAGTAACAAAAAGCCTAAAATAGAAGAACAAGTAATCCTGACAAAAATCTACAAATAATTGGACTTTAATTATTTTAATAATATGCAACACTTAAAAAAAAAATCTTATTTATAAGAAGCATTAAAGATTAAAAAAAAGGCTTCAAATGCTTGTGTAATGAATATATTGACATCTCCAGATTCAATAAATAGAATTATAACTCTCTAGAGCTACAGATCTAATGATGAATCATCTTAAAGTTTGCAAAAGACTGAATTCACTTTTTGAAATAGGACATTTATAATCAGTCACAACCACCAATTCTTCCTTCAGCATACCTAGTTATAATGTGCACCTAATATGCCAAAGAAATGAGAAAACTAATCTTTTAAGAGGATCAGCATACATACGCAAATGTATGCAATCTTTAAAGATGCAATAGGTAGATGTCATATTTCAGTCCTATCATCAGCTTCTTAATTTCCCTAAAACACTTGAGCATACATTCTAAAATACCTAATATGCGTAATTGCTCCATACATTCCATTAAAATATTATACCTTATTATCCCTATCACAACATAATCAGCATGTAAAAATCAGACATTCTTTCCCGATGAGATAATTTTGGTTCTCTTGAGAGCTCTACATCAATGTATTTTTTCCCTCCTGTGCACAATTAAAATTCTACTGTAGAATATTATATGCTTAAATAATGATTTTCAATACTGAAAACCCGAACTTTTATTATGGAGCCTAAATGCAGACTTCAAAATATAAATTTTGGAAATACTGCACTTATTTTCTAATGTTTGTCCTTATATGGTTCTATAATACCACTGCAAAATTACTATTAATCCAGTAAACCATTGCTTTTGATGGCCCTTAGATCAAATTATACATTAGTAACAATATTTTATTTTCAATGTGTTAAAATACTTGTCATATATCTTTAATATTAGATTTTATAAGTGTTCCTTCAAGATTTCAAATTATCTGCATCAATTTAGAAGCAATTACAAAAAATATGTTTGCATATAGTGAAGCAAATGAGCCATCTCTTTTTCTATTTGAAGAAATAATCCAAGAAATAGTACATAGAGAGCAATCACTAATTGTAAATCCAAGTACAACTCACACACTAATAAGCAGAATATTGACTTTAGAGCTAGACAGTGAAATTGCAAAGAACTTTTTCATTAAATTTTAAAAAATACCAATAACAAACGTCTGTATTACTACTGTTGTTATTACCTAAAGACCAACATTTAGGAAACTAGCTGATTCATCTACCTCTCCAAATCCCATACTGAATTAGAGCGGGTACGCTGAAGTTTTCAATGCCACTGGTACACATTGGCAATGATTCACTTTATACAAACTAAAAAAACTGCAGAGATTTAGAGCTTCACCTAATAAAATTATGGAAACCTCAAGGCTTAGATTTGAAAAGTAGTTAGGTAACACAAATCAAGTGATCCTTTGAAAATCATGACTGCAACTATGTCCTTTGCATTTAAAATGTAAATCATGCCTGCCACAGTTTTCAAGAAGAAACACATTGCCCTCAACTTGGATGACAAGAGAACTGTTCTGATTAGAGCTTTCTGGAAAGCATGGGATGAACTTGTGGTATCTGGAAAAATGTGCATCATAGGCCAAAGTTATGACAGATGATTGCCTGCCTGAAAACCCAGCCTTTCTGTATGTCAGGAAGGGTTCTCTCTGAGCCTGGGTGAGGAAAGCATGAGCCTTCAGGTTCCAGCTTTGGATTATGTCTAGACCCAAAGATGTTTCTGTGCTGTCAGGCATGTTCCACATGCCGGTTTGTCTTTCTTCATACTCTTTTCAGCCAAGAATACCCAGTTTCTGTGGCTCACTGGCATAGCTGCTTACAGACCTCTCAGTCAGAGCCCAGTCTCACATACATGAATTAAAAGCCTTAGCCCTGAGCAAGGACACCAAGAGACATTCCAAACTCAGTCCTTCAACAGCAAGAACAGATGCATTAAGTCTGGGCACAGCCAAGCCAAAACAGTTTTGATGGAAAACTGTCAAAGTATTGGGAGCCTGAAATTCCAGACTACCAAGCCTGAGGCCACAGGCCTTGGGAGTCACAGAGGCCTTGATAATAATGGTGACACTCAATGACAAACTGAAGGTCCAGGAGGAAATGCCCCTTCATGGACAACCACATTCGCATATGGAACTTCAAGAGAAACCACTTTGCTACAGGGGAAGTCCAAAGAACAAAGTTCATTTAAGCTTCTTGCTTCTGTGAGTTATCTGAATCAACTGTTTTTTCCATATTTCAAAGTTCTTCTGTGAATAAACTGTTGTATTGTGTGTCAAGAGCGTAACTTGCCAACTATCAGAAGATAATCTGCTATCCCTAATATTTAGTTGGTTAACTTCCATTAAAGTCACTGACACATATCAAGCTGAGACTATTAAGCATCTGGCTATGCATAGCAAATGAAAACACACTGAACTTTATTAAATATGCTGCTAAAATATAGTAGTACTTCATTTTTTCTGCTCTGGACAAATTGAAATATATCTAGAAATCAGAAACAGATTTGGAAAACAACTAGCATTGTTATACTTTTCAACAAATCTGAAAAAATTAATCCTATGCAAGTAACTCACTAATTACATTTCTTGTATCCAAAACAGTACAATCTTTACATAAAGCTACCTCAATGAAAGAAATCAACACTACAAAATGTAAAGAAATCATCTTTTTTATCACAAGTATAAAAATAAATACTCCACTAAGGAATGAAAGAAGAAATAAAACACATTTAAATAATTTCATTACACTGAAAGATGCCAAATCATCTGTGAGTGGTTTCTTCTTAGATGAAAAGAAATCAAAATATAGGACAGATGTTGGACAAACCACATTTGAGGTCTATCACACACTGGCATTTTTCAAATGATTTTGGCTCATCTATTAAATAAGGTGTATTTTGCTTGATTTTGAAAAGGGAAACATCAGGAAATATTTAAAGGCCAATTGCTGCCAATTAACTTTGATCAGCAAATGTTGCGTTTGAATCTTTTAGATTCTTTTGCCTGTCTGGAATAACACACTATTCTAAAATCTAGCAAAACAACAACCTGATGATTAATGTGTGTTGGCAGCCCCACCACAAGCTTGCTTAACAGTTGGATTTTAAATAAACAGCTGTCTTCATTATGATGGGAAAGAAATCTGACTGTTTTCATGTTTTCTTGTTATTAAAATATGATCTGAAATGGCTTTTTCCCTTTTAAGACGAAACAGCCAGGCACTATGGTGACAGTCTCTTTCAGCAGTTTGGATAGTTTCAGAGCAATTTCACAAGAATTGCCAAACCAGACTCTATACATGCTGAAAAAGCCCTTGGCATGCTGACACCAACCCCTCACAGCACACTGCAAAGGAGGGGCATGAGCGGCAGAGAAACCCTAGTACATAACAAATGGACCTGCCACTGGGAAGGACTGAAGAGCCAGAGTGATAAGCCACTGAGATGGACAACACATACAACATTAATGATTTCCCTGGGGTTTAAGGTAATCCTTTCCCACAGTAAGATATAAGTGAGAAATCTTTACCCAGCCATTAACTGTTTATAGAAGCTGAAGTTTAATATTTAATGATCTACGTAGCCTATTGCATTCTAGTATTTATAGATGCTTTCTGTGCATCCACTTCTAGAACTTGTCTACTGTGGTCATAAATACAAAGACCTGTGAGGGGAAAAAAAAGTGCCTAGAACTTCTACTACTGCAACCTTTGAATGCCAGCACATTTACTGTAGATATCTTTGTAAATTTCAATGACTAAACTACACAGATTTTTCTAAACGTTTCCATAGTAAAACTCTGAAGCCAAAAATAATTGCCAAGCCATCTAATAACAAGTAAAAATAGACAAATGTTAACAAACCTCTGTGTTTTAAAATAATGAACACTTACTTCTAAATCATTAAAGAATAGATGCGTGTCTGCCAAATTGAAAATCATCTCTTCCATTCGAAGTCCAAGAGACACTGAGGTGGGTGGATCCTTAAAGAAGAAATTAAGAGTGCACTGTCAATACCATGCATAACATGGTACATGCTACATTCTACACAGTAGAATACAAATGACAAGAACTGGTTTTCAAGAAAGATTATCTGATGCATGAAATGTAAAATCCATGTGTTTGCTTTTATTTCAGCTACTGTATAATCCCATAGTAAGGATTAAAGTAATCCTCAAATTTGTCTTTAATGTGACTAATGCCATAGTTCTGCAGTAAGACTTCTGTGGCCACACTTGTGTCCACACACCCTTATGTCACCCTTGCACATCCATACATGGACTTATGCTGGATTCCATCAGTAGCAAATGCATTTTCCCCTACACTTCTACAGACTTTGCAACTGTTTACAAATTTTGCAATAACTGAGGACAAGATAATGTTATCATTATTGAAAATGAAGAGACACCGGTCACAGATGAAAGGATTTAGTCATTGGAATACCTAGTGACTTTAAAGCAGATCACCATTAATATTTTATTTACAAATGGCAGTTTTATTTAAAACCACTCCTTGATTCTCCACAAAAGCACACTTTGATTATGCTCTCTGTTAGGCCCACCCATACTGAGTGAACAAATCTATTGTTTGTTATTAATACATAACACACTTTAACTTCTCTACTGAAATTACCATAACAACTTATTCCTTACTGAGCTAATAAACTCAAAAAGCATGTTCAGCACTGTGGTTATGAAATGCATTACAGATGTTTGTCTTGTTTTGATTTTTTTTTTGTACGTTTTATGTATTTTCAATCTGAAAAAATTGAGAAGAAAGTCTAATACATGTATTTGATACACAATTTCTCATTTATAGGCCAAATATATCCAACCACACAGAAGCACAAGTTCAAAAGAACATGTATTCTCTCACAACACCTTCTTTTATTTTTTTTTATTTTATTATTACCAATATTAGCTTGTTAGGTATTGTATTTTAAATAAAACTGCAGAAGTGACAGCATAAACTTTATTTAAAATAAGTTAATGTTCTAAAACTGATGACAACTCAGAGTTAATACCAAAAGATGTGGTCCCTAGTTTCTTTTTCCACCCCTCAATCAAATTAATAGATGTTTCAACATGATCTCTGAACTTTCAAACATTTTTCTGTAACTGCTGGTCAAAAGGTAAAATGTGTCAGTGGCAAACAGTTGGAAAAGAATGGCAATCTAGCAGCCTGTTTGCCTTCTGGAAAAACCAAAACAGCTAAAACTAACCAGCAGAAAGAAATGAGTTTTTGGAAAGAAGCATTTAGAAACTAAGCTATATGGAATACACAAAACATCTATTTCTGAATTTCCATAGGCTAAGAGTAAATAAGTTTTCTAGCATCACAAAAATAGCCCTCTTAAATAGGACAGCAGAAAATGCATTATGCCATTTTGATCATTATAATGACATCGTCCTTAAAATTAGTCTTCTATTAAAAAAAAAAAAAAGAAGAGTATTTGGCTTCCTAATTAAAGGAATTAATTTATTTGAAAGAATAAGCAAAATTATTCTGTCTTTTTATTTTACTATTGCCCCACAAGTCTTCCCTTATTTTATTTCTGGAGGCAGGAAAGATGGAAGGCAGATGATGTTCTCTCCCCAGATAGGCCTGAGGCTACATTCACCTCTCACATTCCTGCCTATCTTTGAGCCTAGCTACAACACTGCCTTTCTTCACAGCTCCTCATCCCCTTTTTAAACTAAGCAAGTATTTCTCTTCTTCCTGAGTACTACCAAAAGTCATACCACAGAATGCTTTTCTCTAGTTAACAGAAAGAGTTAAATGCAGGACTAAGGGTCTACTATGCAAATGAAGATTGCTAGCTACATCTTAATTATCAAGTGATAATATAACATTTTACAATTAAACCCATGTGGAGCTTCCATTCATAAAAAGGGGAACAATTTTGAAAAGCTGGATACATCACAGCATAGAGTTAATTTTAAAGAAATGTCTGTGAATAAAGTCTTTCAATTTTAATTTATGTGTGACTTAATAATTTATACTAGTTTCTCCTTACACATTTGAGTCTGAAAAGAATGGCTTTTGGTAAAAATATCTGCATGCCATTTAACTCAAAGGTGTTTTAAGAGGTAGACAAAACAGAATGTGGATTTCTTTAAAGTAATATTAAAAGAATGTCATTTACTAGGTTAATTTAATTAGGAGAAAAACATAAGAAAATCATTGGCACATACTGAAAATGTCGGATTAAATAACGTAAAAAAGAAGAGAAAAAACAAAACAGGTTTCTTTTCAAAGTAACCCTAATTCCTTGATTAAACAAAATCTTGTTCTATAGAAAGTCCCACATCGCACAGAAACTGAGTTAAGCTGCAGCTCTGGGTAGCCACATATTTTAATAGATGCAAAAGCCTTATCTACATTAGGGTTTTAAATGTCTCCGTAGTTACAATCTTGCAGCAGTTCTAGCAAAAAGCACAAAAGCTCTGGTTTAAGGCTCTGTAGTAGATTAAATGCTGATGCCAGTCATTAAAGTGATGGCTGAAAACTTTTTAAAAAGACAAGGCTAGAATAAGGTTTTAAAAAAATCTCATACCAAGCCTTCTTTTGCAATCTTAAGCCACTAATTGCAAACTAATTATTGTGAGGTGTCACACAATGAGCAGGAAAGCTAACAATCTGTTCTTATTTATCGGGATTTGCAGGTTCAGCCTGAGTGTCTTTTCAGGTATGGTCAAAATCAGGTACAAATCTCTGGGGGAGGTACAGTTTAGCTAAAGAAAAGAAATACCAACGTCAAGCTGCTTAAGCAGGCCTCTTGTTTTTGAATACTGGTATTGGAGCCAAAACATTGTCTGTATGTCATTTCTAAATTCTACCCACTTGATTTCTTTGTTTTGTGGAGAAACAAGAAGCTGAAAAACAGGAAAGTTCACTTTAGGTACAAGGCTTATTTTCCACTTAAGCCTACAGGTCACAAATGAAGGGTTAAGTGAAACCAGGCTTTGCTTTTCTCTACCTCTAAAACATAATAAACCATATTAAAATAACTTATAATTTAAAGGAAAAAATGTTCCTAAGCATCTGAATATATATGCTTTCATGGAAAATGGAAATGTAAAGACCACAGTAGACTACTGCAAGTACAAAGATGTATTTCCACATGCTTCTAGACACTAAAGAAGGGTCCCAAATTCTTTCCGAACTCCAAAACTTCACCAGTTGTTATCTGGCTCAAAACTGTTTGTAGGTCAGTGTCAATCAAAGTAACTGATAACCTGATATTCGATCAACACATCTTTTTCAAAAGCAAATGAAAATGTATTTTTTTCCTTTTTCCCTTTCCCCATCCTTCCACTCTGGACATACAACTCACTTCTTCCACTAGTTTCATACATTTCTGTGAAACCCACAATATTCAAATCCTTAAATAAAAAAGTAACGGAGTCTACCATAATTGCACAAACTGCAAAACAAGCGTATTATTTTGTTCCAACACTGCAGAACAAGAGTATGGAGAAAGTAGAGCACAATAGCAGCACAAGGAGTACAGGTGATAAAAAGAGATGAATAAATATGAACATACAGAAAAGGGTGGCATAAACAAGAAGTTATGAGGAATGAGGAAGAGAATAAGGAAAAGAAAACCTATCCCTTCAGCAACAGGACTGCTCATCATTCATAGTCATTCACCATGAAACTCACTCATGCATTATGAGAAGAGCTGAATGCCAAGTTGCCAAATCCTCTATTTAATTAAGACATTTTTGTTCGTTTGAAGTTCCAGCTTTTGTATTTTAATGATTATGTGAGCAGCTTAGATTTAATTTTTAAAAGGACATTTCTATTTCTAACCACAGTGAAGAAACACATTAGGGGTGAAGTTAAATAGCTCAAAAAGCAGTTGTAAACAACAAAATATCCCCCTGGCATTCTGATTTTAAAGGCCAGAAATCAATAGGAAACACTCTTTAAAAACTGCGCATCTCACCCTGCTGTAAATAACTCTAAAATTCTTCTGTGGCACTTAATAACCCAAGAAAAATTGTGATATGAATGAAACTTTGTGAAAACAAAGCAATAATAGCACACTTGCACAACTGCCTCTTAGTGGATGTGCACACTGCAACCCTTCACCAAAACATTCTAATATTTATCCACAGTGCATAATGCATTAATTCTTAGTATAAACACTAATGCTATCATCTCTCTTAACATCAAGCATTGTTGGTTTTTTTTAATCAGAGATGATGCCCTGTATCTCTTTGTATACATGTGTATGCATGTGCTGTCGTATAGCAACAAGTATAATGAAAAAAACTCAGTCTGACCAATGTTTGGCAGGTGATTTAGCTTAGCGATTGACAAATCATAGAATCAGTCATCATTTAGTGATGTCTATGTATTTTGCCACATGCAATGCAACCAGAGGCAGCCAAGCAAAAGCTACATCGAGAAAACAATGTTAAAATGATGGAACTGCCATTGGGAGGCAGCCACCTCCTTGCAGCACATGCATCTGTATCTCTCAGGAGCTGAATGCCAGCCACTTTCCTCAGCCTCAAGCAGACAACAAAAAAAGGTATTTATATTCGGGCCCTAATTATAAAAAAACTCTACAGGAAACTAGAAAAAGAAAAAATATGCTCACACAAGTACTTCTCAACAACAACTAATCAGTTATTTTTCTAGCAGAACTCTGGTCCCCAAAAGTAAGTGGTGATATTCTGTTGACGTTGGACTTTTGTACTGTGAACACAAGGGCTTGTTGTCCTGTCACAGATTTGGTGATTTTGTAGTATAAAATTGCAACGTTTAAGAAATCAAGGCTGTTGAATATCCTTGCTTTTTGTACACATAATGAAAACAACTAAGTATAGTCTTCAAACAAGTAGGTTGCTATTATACAAAACATTAATGAAAATATATCACACCGCCTTGAACTACTTTTGGCTAGGATAGAGTTAATGTCTTTCACAGTAGCTGGTATAATGCTGTGTTTTGGATTTAGGAGAAAAACAGTGCTGATAACACAGCAATGTTTTAGTTGTTGAGCAACACGAAGTCAAGGATTTTCAGCATCTCATATAGCTCTGCTAGATAGGAGGCTGTGTGTACACAAGGAGCTGGTAGGCAATGAAACCAGAACAGGTGACTCAAACTGGCCAAAGGCATATCCCACGATACATATGCCATGAGATACATATCTCATGATCCCATGACCATACTGTGTCATGCTGAACAATAAAAGTCAGGGGGTTGGCTGAGGGAGCTGCCACTGCCTGAGAACTCTTTGGGGATCCATCAAAAGGTAGTGAACAACTGCACTGTGCCTCACTTGTTTTTTTTGTGTGCATGTATACATATGTTGTTATTATTTACTATTACCATTCCTTCCTTTTCTGTCCTAGAAGACCGTCTTCATCTCAACCAAACCATTTTACTTTTTTCTAGTTCTCTCCCTCATAACCACTGGAAGGGAGTAAGCCAATGGCTGTGTGGTGCTCGGCTGGGTTAAACCACAACACACCTGAACATGCCAGATAAGTTATGCAGAAGTGTTGCTTTAGATTTTTATGATGCAGAAAGCCATTAGGGAGAATGCAGAACTTTAGCCAGGCATGATCTGAACTGAAGCAGAAGCTTTACCCTTCCCTCAACTGGCTGTATCATAAAACTTCTTAGTGATGAATATAAGCTTTATGAAAAGACAACGTGATTACATGAAGTCAGACAGAACTATCTGGTCATTCAGTATGTGAAATATTTTTGAAGATTAACAAAAAAAACCCTCACATTCTAGTTATATTTCATTTGAGGTGAGCATGAGAGGACATAACACAGATTTTTGCACAAGCTGAGCCGTTAACTTTCAAATACAATTCTGAAAAACAAAGTTTGATCTCACAAGGGCATTCCAATCGTAAATTGTTCTTATTCACCTAAGACAGCACTTCTCTTCTGAGAATTACCTAGGAAACCCACAGTCTGCAGGCATAACCATAAGTTCAGTTACAATTTATAGACTGTGCATAATAGAAAGATTTGACTCGTAACCAGGCTTTCAAAAACATCAATCAAAACAGAGATTAAAAAAATGTGAGGTAAAAAAGTTCAGATTATTACAGCCATATATATCCAGAAACGTACCCTTGCTTCTCAGTACAGAGTACAGACTACTGCTGACTGCTCAGGACCAAAATGTTATTTTAGTGCTCAGTCCTGGAAGTTCTTCACTAGTTGAGAGGAGCTAAATATTTGCAGATTTTGATGGTATCAACAGGTATCACACACTCTATATCAACAAAAAAACCTCAAGTGGTCAAAGTATTACTCCCAATGGTGTTTAATTATTTAATGACGCAAACACAAAGAATGGACATATGAAAGAGCTTTACTCCTTGAATTTTTATGTCTTGAAACACCAGTAGTGCTTGGTCTCTGGAAAATAATGTTCTTGTTTTTCTTACATATCAACCATAAAACAATAAATATTAATGAAAATTTCCATCAGTTTCTTGACACTTACCCTTCCATATCTGTTAGCATAGGACCCTGTAAGCAAGGAATGGAAAATGATGATTGTCTCATCCAAATCCCAAATGAATACTCTCTGTAAAAAGAGAATCAAATCAATGTGTTCCTCTGTGAAGCCGATACTTGAAATGGAAAGTTTAAATTTGAATCAGTAAGCGCACAAATGACAAAATTGTATTGAAATGGTTATATATTAGAACCATAGCTTCCTTGCAATTTCTTTTCAGAACTAACGTTTTTCCAGAAGAGGGTAATACAATCTGTTAGCTTTTTACTACAATTGCTATTATATCAAATTATTCTATTAAAATAAAATGATAGTCATAGTCCAATATACAGAGAAAATGAGATTGTACAATACATTATTTTAAAGCCAGATGTAAGATAGAACCTGAAAGAAATTAAGAGAAGCCTCTCAGGATTAAATATTCTGCATCTGAATTTTATATTTCTGCACGTCTTCATACATTTGGTCTTGACAATAATGTCTAAAACAAAATAAAACTAGTGAGTTGTTGACAAGCAGTTAAATCCTCTCAACCTATGTTTAATAGAATTTATGTATCTGAAGAATTAAAATTGTGACTTTAGATTTTGCCTGTGTAAGAAAGGATGGTGTCAGTAAATAATTCTTTCACTTACAGATGGTAGAAAAAATGTGTTTTAAATTTGCCCTCTGACCATTAATAAAATGATGTTAATGAAAAATACAGTGTTCAAATATAAGTATTTTAAATCCTGGTAGGATTGTATTTCCCATGATAACTAATGGGCTAAATTTCAGAAAGGAAAAGTAATGCAGCACGGACACTCATAGCTGTGACGAGTCATTGGAGATGTGCTCTCAACATATAGCACAGGCCACTGAGAAAAATGCAAACATAGCAAAAGAGAATAAAAACTGCTATTGTGCCACAAGTGTCTCCTGCCCAAAGAGAAACCTTACTTCAATTTGGGAAAAGCTTTTTTCTTATTGTTCTCTTTTTCTTTTCTCTTTTTATTTATTTTTTTTTAAAGGAGAAAGAATGCTGTTATTTTTCTGAGAAATTAGGTGCTCTTCACAAAGAAAGTTCTTTAGAATAAAAGTTTCAAGATCTTCAACAAAAAAGAAGAATAAACACAAAACAAACAAAAGAAAAAAAAAGGGCTCAAATGCCATTTTATTTTTGATTTGTAAATGATAATGCTCTCTGCATAATAATTATAAAAAGAGAAACTATGACATGTCAAAAACATCTAGCACAATATACCTCTAGGTCAGAATCAGGTGGTGGTGAAGGATTGTTGTTTCTTCTGCCACGTCCACGAGATTTCCCATCTGAACTACGACGCAATCTATCTGAATCTGAATCTTTTATGGGTGTTGATGGACTGTGAATTGTACTGTATTCTGCTGTAGTAAAGAAATAACATTTTTACCTTTCAGCTTAAATCCAAAACATTCAAATTTCTTTCTAGATATAACACTGAAAACAGGATCTTTTCTGAAGAGTTCTAAAAAAAAAAGATTAAAACTACAATAATAAGTGGTAATGCTAATGCATAAATTAATTCAATCAAGTAACAGGTTACATACAATAACAAAGATATAATAATTTAGTTCAGTGAATAAATAAAAAAAATAATAAAACGATCTTCATTTCTTCAAATCAGAGAAGATCACATGATTTCAAAGAAAAGATCATACTCTAAAAGGAAACTTTTGATTGATTTAATCCTGAGTTTTCAAGCACGTTTTAAGATAATCATCATGGTGACCAGCAGACATTTTACTTTTGGATGACTACATTTGTGCCTGATTAATCCAATACAATACCTTCTAAAGGTAGCACACAATTTTATTATCTTCGTAGGATAAGTTCTATAGTTGAACAACTTTCAAATATGCATCAAATGTGGAGAAGATATTTAAAGTATTTTTCAAAGGCCTACTCAATGAGTATCTTCAAGAACAGTACTGTACACCAAATACTACGTATCAGCAAAATATTCACTGCCATTTAGTAGGTAAAAACAAAGAAAGATGATTTACTTATGTAAGAAGAAAATATGCCAGTTGGAAGATGTTTTGCTATCTCTAACATCCATTAACAGTGCAGTGCTTGAACATTCAGAGAGCAAATACCCCACTTAAATTATCCTTCCTAATTCATGTAAGTAGAAGTGCCATGCCCTTCGGGAGTTTTTTTACATCTCTTTCAAGACTTCTTTTTGCAGCCTTAAGATCACACAGAAAACATTTTATTTTTATATTATTTTTTTCCTAAAAATAAAATCTTTTTCTTTAAAGCCAGCCAGAATTTTCAATATACAATGTATTTATCAACTTTAGTTCTCAGTTAGCATTGACTCTTCACAGAGTTCAGGAGATATGTATATTTTTATCAATATTAATTTACTTTTTTAATCAGCCTAGGTCATAGCATTCCAGTTTGAACAGACAGGTATAATTCTCACACAAATGATCCTTTTTCCTAAAAAAACATCCTGTTGAGGTCAAAGGTTAGATTAAGGAAGAAACTCTGGACATCTGTGCAGCAGCACGTACTCATAATTACTCAAAATAATTGTTGCTTGTACTCAGTTTAAAGAATAAGGTCTTGAAGTCCTCACATTCAGCCTTTAAATCTACACATAACTAAAATTCATACATATTATGTATTTCGCACTATACTTTTAGCTAAGTATCTCAGACTACACCAAACAAAGCAGAATAACAAGTTAGTACGTAACATAAAACAAAGAGTCCTCAAAAGAGACAATCTATACCCAAACCAGTGATTCTGTGCATGCCAAACAACAAAAAATCAACATAGCCATATCAGACCAGATAACGAAAGGCAGGAAATGAAACTTGGAACATGATGCACATTCCAACAATTTATTTCTTCCATGATAATGTGCTCTCCACAATTATTTAGATTAATACATTCAATACTGATTGCTCTTTCACATACTGTCCTAAAAGACAAATAAGAAATAAAAATAATTCAACTAATTCCAATCTTTTAAATATAAATAAGTAATCTCCTAGACATTATTTTACTTGGTTATAACTCACTTAAAAGCTTTTGTGCATTGTTTTCTTTCATTTGTATTTTTTCTTAAGGTTTTTGATAACAAACAGACCAGAATTCATTCAGCAGGTAGACTGGCCTATAAAGATTTCCCATTCCCTTAACCAAATTTGTGTGTATTTGAAATCTGCTCTCACTTCCTTTCAGTTCTAATGTTTATCTTAGAGAAAAATAATCAGATCCTCTATTGAAGGTCCTATCGTTTCTCCGGTCTGGACGCAGTAATCCAAAGCAAAGTAGATAAAAGCCTTCCTTGCATGCTACCTTTCCATGGACACCACTCAGCAGGGGAAAATTTACATTTGCAGCAATATTTTCATTTAATGTTAACTTCAACATCCCCAGATCATCTCTGGTGGAAGAAGTGGCACTGAACTGATGTTACTCAAAGATTTGGCCAAACACTGCACATAAACTGCTAATATGTCATTAACACTCTGCTTTACTGCTAATAACCAGAGCTCCTGCTCCTACTTAGGGGACAGCCACAGAGACCATTCTGCTACAGCAGCATGACAGATGGCAGCAACCAATGGGTGAAAACGTGACAGTGAGTGAGAGAAACTTGTCCATGTATGTAAAGGGAAACCACAGCATGTATTCTTTGGATTAAGGCTGCTCGACCACGTGCATGACCGGGTTACCAGCTCACTGGCCAATGGTCACTCTCAGGTTCCCATAAGGAAAGTCAATTAAAGAATCCAGTACCCAACTGAACTCTGAGCCTAATCCCCAACAAATTCTAAAGTAAGAAAAACAACAGTGGCTGAGGGTACTCTGTGTACCACTAGTATGTGGAGTACTGAGAGTGGTCTGCAGGGAAAGGTAGAGCCTGGAAGGAGCTGCCAACATTCCCCATCCCACATTTGTGCAGTTCATCATTCCTGCCTAAATGTATACCTCACACCTGCTCCTATTGAGATCACATCTCCATTTTTTGAGTTCTCACCCTGTCTCCAGAGAACTCACAGCCCCTCTCAGCATGGTGTCTTCTACATATTTAATAGGCAAACACATTCTGTTCCGTCATTTAAATGATTAATGAAAATGCGGTCTGGTCCTGGGCCCAAGACAGACACTGAGGAATGCTGCTGTAGCCATCCTTCTATTTTAACAGCAAACTCTTACTGGCTTCTCTCCTGACATGGTTTCCTAAACAGCTTTATATCACTCTGTTGTAATTTTGGCTAGATTGTTTTATTCCAGTTTGCTTATAAGACTGTTAAATAAAAAGGCATAATTGCTCAGGTTGTAAAAGCCTGGCTGAAGTCAAGCTGTATAACTACAATACATGTCACTGTTATGTCCATTATTCTATGTTCCTGGATATGAGTGTTTAATTTGTTCGGCCTTAGTTGAATTCATAGTAGCATACTGTAGCATTAGCCAAGGGAAATTACTATGTCCGTAAAGCACTGAATTTAATTTTATCCTGTTCTTGAGCACCACAAACACAGGGAGGTGCTGGAGGAAATCCAGCCCTCTACAGTACCGTGAGAGGAAAAAAGAGAAAAGATCAGCTCTGTCCCAGTACTCAGAGTACATGATCACCAAAGCAAACGGGCAGAAACCAGGTTAAATAAAAGAAAGGGGAGGTCATATCACATGAGGAAGACCTGTGACACCATTTCCCCCAAAATGCTTGGCTCCCAAAAGATTACAAGGGTTCAAGAGGAACCTGGAGACGTCCTTGGAAGAGAAACACTGAGGGATGTGATAGCCATGTCCACATTAGCAGGTAGAACCATTGGGTATGTGGGACCAAACAAATGGTGGCAACTACCCCAAGGCCTCACAGCCAGTTTCTGAGAGGTCGTTCCAGGCAAGGTCCAGCCTGGTCTGGTGTCCTAAGCACCCTTGTTAGAAAGCTGGATGAATTAGATGATGGAGAACACCTTCCAGGTTACTTTTGGCAGGTGGGCTCCAGGACTGCTCTGCTGAGAGAAAACGTTCCAATTCAAAACAGACTTCTCTAGTCAGTAAGAAAAACATTTAAAATCCAGACTCTACAAATGAATATCACTTTTTTTAATCCATACAAAAACTATGCAAAACCATGAAAAACATGCTTTCATTCTGTTCTACCTAAAATACAGAAACTATACTATAGCAGACCTCCCCCCGGGCCACAAGGCAACATATCATTGCAATGTGACATGAAATGTCATAAACATACACTTGTGTTATACATCAGCGTGTGTAGCTTTGATGGTTATACATCACACAGGAAAATCTTCCATCACCTCATCAATTAGAATATTTTGATTACTTATGAATAGACAATAGAGCCACAAAGATGATATTTACAACACTGTACTTTGTTTGTTATAGAAATTCCCTCCTTCTGCCCCCCAGGTAATTGCTGTATTTTCTTACTATCAATTTCACTATATAGGAGTAATATCAAGTGATAAATATAAGGAAAACTATCTGTCCCAGAAGTAATATTTATTTATTTATTTATCTATCTAGGTAAATCTCACTGGAGTTTGTGTAGGTAGGCTTGTTGACAAAGGCACTACAAATTTCATCAGACAATTTCCCTACTAAAGAGTATGCAGAAATGAGCAAATTCACATAATCAAAGTAATTCTATCTTACGTCACAATGCAAATTACATTGATGAGATGGGCTTAGAATTGCTAGTATAATCAAATAACTCTGCAAGCAAGTACATGCAAGTATTTTCTGTTTTAACTGTGCCTAGATTTCCTCCAAATTTCATATTTAATTTTGAGTAAAAACCTTAAGCCCTCAGTCCAGCATTGTTTCAGCTTCTGCACAGCAACAAAAACTGAATATATTTATATATTTGCAAAAACAAAGCTAAACACAAGATCTATAAGCACTACAAAACTTCTTCCTTTGCAGCTCCAAACATAAAATTTGAGCAGGATTAAACAATGCAGAATCACAAAGGTACTGACGGATTTTTTTCTGTATAGAAAAATATGACTACTACATGAGTGGTAAGTACTAAATATTGCAAGACATATCATAATGCCTGCTGACAGGATTATAGGAGGAATCTTTAGTGCCGTTTTGACCAAAAGCCATTATCTTATCTACCTGGAAAATAAATCTGAAATCTGTCTATTGAGGACTATTAGCATATAATTTTAAACTTGACAGAAGCCCTAAATAATCTTTGGGAAAAAAAGCTGTTAGAAGTATAGGCAAAAAGGCCTATTTATTTTGAGGATTGACTGATCTTTTCATTATTAATAATAATGACAAAAAATATCTTAATAACAGCATAGTACATACAACATCACACAGTATGTATAACAGTAGACATAATATATCGTTATGTATGACAACAACTTTCTTAACAGCACCTGAAGTATAGATTTTTTTTCCTCCAAATTTCAATGCTGAAGAAAAAAAAAAAGATGAAGCAGTCTCATAATGGGCAGGCAGTACCTCTCTCCAGTATAGGCATTTCTTCCTCACTCATTACTTAAGGTTTTCAAACAACTTGAAGTAATTATTACTTTTAATTCTACTAAAAGTATCCTATTTATTTATTAAAATACATATTAAAATGCATATAAGGTACATCAGTTCTTAGCCTTAACATACCATGTGATGGCAAGTCACTGTTGAATGTAACACTGAATTAAAAACTGAACACTCTCAACGCAAGAAACAGGAGAATAACCAATATCAGAAAAGCAAAAGCAGTGTTGTACTTTACTATTCATTAATGTATTCCGTTTTTACAGAAGTTCCATTGCTTCCTTCCTATACAGACTCTAGATTTACTCTTCACTTTTATTTATGAAAAAGAGCAAATGTTAAAACACCAGTAATGTACTGTTAGCACAGCACTGGATGTTTCTGCATAGGTACTAGTGAAAAGTTGCCTATAAAGTATCTTAGCTCTGTGTTGTTTTACAATCTTTAATTTATTGTTATGAAACTTAGTAAGGGGAAACTCTAAAAGCGGCTTTCTCTTTTGCAATACTAAATGTGATACAGTGTTCGAGGAAAAAGCAGCCTAGCTTTAAAGAGCAAAATGGTGACCCACGACTGAGAACAATTTTTGTTGGCTAGCATAGAACTTGTGGTTTTTTTAATCTGCATTGTAAAGTACATGAGTAATTTGAAAAAAAGAAATCTTCCAGTAATACTTTAAACAGACTTACTGCAGAAAAAAGAAAAACACCACCAACTGAAAGAGATCAAATCTTAAGAACTGTGCAACTCAAAGAAATATTATTTAATACATTACAAATATAGCTTTTTGTGAAATAAAGGACTGCATTACCAAAACTTGCACAAATCAAGAAATTTCTGTTACCAGATACAATAATGAAGCTGAAATACTGCAAAAGAAAATAAGAAAGTTTTAGAAAAAGTAGTTGTTATCTACATTAATTCCTAGAAGCGAATGTTCTTATTGTTCTGCTAATTTGAGAACACTGGGTCGGGCATCAAGGATTGAGGCAAAATGTCTTCCACACTGGTATAAATAGCAGGTGATAAAATAGAAGAAGGTCAGAAATGCATTCATCCACTGTCTCCAGAATTTTTATTTTTATTTTTTTTTACAAAGCATTTCTTGAAACCAAGCTTGCATCTGTATAAGTCTAATCTATGAGCATGTCTAAGGCCGACAATGCTGCCCAGCTTACATAACACGAAGAAATACTTTCTTTCGTTTGCTCATTCATACTTTAATGAATGTGAGTCTTGGAAGGGACAGTGAGTAATTGCTCACAAGTCTTTTATTAATTTTATCATAACATGAATTAGTATGCTTGATTCATGGAGACAGGGAATATCAGGGTTCGCGCAATTAAAAGGTCTTACAATAAACACAGAAGAAATTTTTAGATCCACAAAGGCTTCCCTTTGTGGAAAGAAGTAACACTGAGTATGAGGACTCTCATGCTCTTTTGCAAGCACCCCTCAATGTCCTTGACTGAATGTGAAAAACCTGCATATTTAACTAAAGATTGTGGGAAACCATAAAAGGATTATTTTATGTTTGGACAAGGAATTAAATATATTTTAAGTGAAATTATCTGAGCTTTCTGAGTCTGCAAAACTCTCCTAAAAATGTCACAAGAACACATAATTACTTTCTCTATTTTCACGTTTCTTACCAAACTGCCCTGTTTCGCTTACTGGCCCAAATTCATAGGAATCGTATATGTCTGTCAAATGATTCTGGTGCCTCTGTGAAGTCTGAATGCTGTTCCATGCTTGTCCTGGCATAGTTCAGAACCGCAAAGATTATACATGTATTTTTTTAATGCACAAGATGTCTAGGGATATCAGCGTCCACAAAGAACAGCTGAATTCAGCAGCTGCTGCCCATCCTAATAAAGGGGAATAGCAACATAACACAATGACTCCCCTTTGCTCCCTAACACACATACAGCATGCCAATCACGGCAGAGACTCAGCACTCTAACTTGAGCAGATGAGGTAAAATATTCTACAGTCATTTGTGATGTTTTTGCCCACTGTTAAAATTCAGTTTGTTTGCTTTTTTGGTTTTTTTTTTTTGTAATATGGATCCAACTGTGAATTTCCTTCTAACACACTTTTCTCTTACTCCCACTCAACCATAATTCCCCTCCTCCATGCTGTTCTCTCTTCACTTTGACTCCATTCTTGCTTTATCCCAAACCTGCTGGGTATGAGTTCACCTGAGGCTGAGGAACATAAAAATTTGTATTGTCCAAGGAAAAATGCCAGACACAGAACTGGATTGACTGAGTGGTCCTTGTTTCTTCCAGGTTTGGAGGTCTGTGAAGCAGTGAAATGATCCCACCTGATTTTAATATAGGAAGTGAACACTGGTAGTCAGCCAACTTAAACTTCTTTCACACCAATGGAGAGACTTTGGTACCTCTGGATGATGATTACAGTTAAACTGAATGCTAAATATAGCTCTGAGCTGCTAATTTCTCTCCACTGACTAACTTAAATGCCTCAGTTAAAGTGCGTACAGACAGATGGAGAAGTTTGAGTCCAGCCTATACCTTATGCCAACTGTGACCATGTGATGAAGAGGAACATGGCTTCATTCCTGCCCTGCTCCTGCTAACAGAGAGTAGTCCACAGCAGGTGCCTTCCTAAATGTGTCCCTAAATACAGGCAGCCAGTCCAAGAAAACCCATGGTTACTTCAAGACCACTTGAAAGAACTGTTTTTGGAATTATTGTATCACTATTGTAAATGGAAAAGAATGACACTGCCATCAGCATCGGAGTAAGTGTGAATGCAGATGATGCAATGATTCAACATAAATATATTCATAAAAGCTATAGCTTAATCACATTTGGCTTTGGGGGTAAGAGAAACTTACTGCTACCAACTTCAAAAGAAAAACAAATAAAACCACAAAAAAATTAAAAACAACGTGAAAAGCAAAATAATTAGGCAGACTCCAATATGCATCCACACATTTGAAAACTGCAGACTACAATACACATTCATAAATTCAAAAAGACTGGTTTCTCAAATACAATGATGCACATACATCATGAATATATACATGAATATAAACCCACACATAAAATGTGTTTTCTTCTCTACCTATTTTCAGTGACTGTGTGAAAAGGCACAACAATGCATACATTTTCTTCAGGGAGATTTACAGAAAAACGGAACACTAGCAAATTATATCAGTGGTCATGCTGCACATGCAAGATTGGTCCTGTAAAGTACTTCAAGAAAACAATCTTCCCCACCAAAACTCCAAAACAAAACCTCAAAATAGCATTCCAAATCAGAGCTGCTTTTTACCGCATGGCTGAGAAACACATCTGCAAACTTGGACTTCCTCTCTGACACATTTCAAACTTCTGCCATCTACTAACTACTGACATGTTCAAACTGTTGAAAAATGTATTTTTTTTAGTAATGGGAAAAGTATTTTTCACCCCTCATTTCCAAAAACAGCTGGAGCAGTTTGGCATAAAAAATACCTCAACTAGTAAAGGACTGCCAAATTCCAAAAGAAAGGTAAAACGACTGGGAAAAAGGACAAGCCACTGAAAATCTTCCCTTAAAATGGAAACACTTGTGCAATTTCAACTACCTAATACAAGCATTATAATGTCCTCTGAAAGTGAAAAATTCAAAAGCTCTCTTTCAAGTGGACACTCAGGCTGCAGTCTGAAGGCCTCTCAATTTCAGTCTTACTTAGGAAAAATCAGAGGAGTTTATCTTAACAAAGACAGAGCTTAAAAGCAGCAGGTTCTGCTTTAGCATAAAGACTTCCCCATATCCTGCAATTTTTCACACAAGCATTTTACAAATAATATAAAAACCTGTACTTTGTACAAGTCTTATACTTTTACTGATCTCCATTTCTCTTTAGCCTCTGTTTTGTTAGAGTCTGTGCAAGATGTGCCACAGGCTCTGGATTAAGAAATAACAACAACAACAAAAGACAGCAACTACACAGAAAAAGAATCCAATTCAACCCCCCTTTCAACTTACAGAAATGTGCCTCATAGGGACCATAAAATCCATGTAATTACCTGCTGCAGGATCTGTAACTGCTTGACTGGTGATGCCAGATGGTGGTTCTTGAAGCTGGTATGTTGCGTTTGAGGAGGGTGTCGTTGGGCTGGTGTTGCTGTTTGTCATGTAATGTGAGGGATATGGTGAGCTATTATAATACTGTGCATATTGGCCTTGGCCAAAGCTGGGATAAGAGGGATATTCCTGAAAAACAAAAAAGCAACTGAATCATCTATCAAAGTTTTGCTACTTTTTAGTATAAATTCCAAAATATAACTGCAAACACATGTCAGGCTTTCAGCACGTATGCTTCCTGGACTGGATGCTATAGGACCTAAGACGGTGAGGCAGTAAAACAAAATCTACATTACACATAATTTAGTTTGTCTTCTCATACAAATATTTTATTATATACACTACTGAAGATGTGTGAATAAGAACACTCTAAACCCAGACCATTATTTCTATTATTGGAGGATGGCAATCTGAGGAAAAACATTCATAAACATTAATGCAATTTGAAAGAATAGTAATTTCTTTCAAAGGGATATTTAAGAGCTATTTTTCAGTTACTTTGGAGTGGATGAGAATTTTAAGTTTGTTGATGTTTCCTCAATTCATATTTACAAAATTACCTGCTGTGAACTATTAAATCCAGTAGAATTTGTGAGTGAATTATTTCCTGCATATATTCCTGATGATGTTGTGAAGCTGCTGCCTGAAATAAAATGAAAAATCATGTGAATTACTAAAACACAGTATTGGAAAATAACTTCCATCTTGCAATTATATCATAAGGCTATGGCATATTTGTAATACTTCCCATATGCTAACCGATTTGGTTGTCATCAGCTCTGTAACATGTTAATAGACAGAAAGTGATAACTCATTGTTCTTATACCCTATGTTTCATTACTGAAATTAAGAAAACCCTGCTTTGATGGAAACTAAATTTTGACAGGAAGCCAGAGCCACCTCAGATTGGTAACTTGTGAAAGTAATCAGGGTTTATTCCATATCACTTTTCTCAAACAGTAACTGCAAGCCCCCAATGAATCCCTAGGGCTCAGTTTCTTTTGCTGTCTTGAGTATGGCATCTTCTCTTATCCCTAAACCTCAGTGCCTTGAAGGAATAAAAAAAAAAACCCTAACACCCTGCTTGAAACAGCTCAGCCTGCCTGCGAAGCCATTAGAATTCACTAATCAATGATAGACAGCCTTGGGCCGCAAAACTACTTCTTTGATAGAGCCTATCAGGCATGACACAAGGGAAAAAAGTACCTCTCTTAGAGGAGTGACTGAAGACTGAATTTAGCCCAGAGACTGAATTACTGCCTTCAACTCCCTCCTCCCCTCAGATCCCCCTTGTGAGCCACCAAAAATAGACAGATGGGTCTCTTGTTTAATACCTAACCTGAGAAGCCATTCCACTAAAAGGGCAGCAACCCCCTTTCAGCTGTTTTGCTCTTGCTGGTTATAACCCGGCAGTGACATAGCCACCAACTGAGACATATGGATGCACGGAGAAGCTCCATAAGCCACCAGAAAGTCCATAATGAGGCAACCTATTGAACTCATACAGCAGGAGAGCACCAGTGTGCAAGGAACTCGCATCAAACTCACAAGCTGTTTGCAGCCTCCCTCACCACTGAAACCTGCCTTAGAGAAGAGGCATACTGAGATCTTGGAAGGAAATGATGCAAAGGAGGCTAGAAGGGATGAAAACCAACAGGGATCCAGGTGTACAGATGCACTGCTGTGTCCAACACGATTCAAAAACTGCATCTTATACAAGCCATTAGAAAAAGCAACAATTCCTGCAAATGCAAACAGTAAGAAATGCAGGCAGGGCTGCATGCTCAGCACAACCCCTAGAGACACAGACAGGTATCCTTGCTATAACAAGTCAGAAGGAAAAAATATTTAAATGCTTTTGCTGCAAAAGGTAGTAAAAAAGTACACAATTAAAGTCTTAGAAATGTGAAGTACATCCAACAGCAGTGGGAGTAAAAAAAAAAAAAAGCGTAAATCCAATGTGAGATAATGACTGTAAACATTTCCTGTTGTATTTGCTGTGCGCGCTAAAGCTCTAAAGCTGTTGATAGATGCTACCAATCCTGTGAACTAAAATCAGATTACTTCAGCAGAAGAGTTGACATCCAAGTTTAGCAGATAGCACAGATAAACAGTACTAATGAGAAAAACATGTTGTTTTAAATTTAATTTAAAATTGGAAAACAGATGTTATTTTTTATTACAACAAACCCCAGAGCCAAAATACAGCTGAAAAATATTTTAAATTGCAGAACTTTGAAATGCTATTTTATTTCTAAGAGTGTTTTGGCTGGAAGAATGTAAGTTACTGTGTCTCTTTTATTCCTACAGTTACTTCTGAGTGATGCAGTAATACACTCAAACACCAGTTTTATAGGTGTGTAGTTTGAACCACTCTTAAAAGATATAAAAGCCATCTATGGTTGTAGGGGAAAAAAAAAAAAAAAAAAAGAAAAAGAAAAAAACAGAAAAAAAACTTTTTGGGATGAATATATACTCTTTCTGCAGAATATCTGGCAAATAATTTGCAAGAACAAATGAGAAAAGTAATTACATGGCAGTCAGCATCTCTGCCCTCAGACAAAGACACACATACTAACACACAGATCTCTCCCTTTCATCTTATGGTCAGTGCTGGCTCCTATGGAGGAGGGGTGGGGGTCTCCTAGACCGTAACAAACACGAAGCAGGTTTCACAGAAACAGCTCCATGGGCCACCCAGAACTACCAGCCTTAGGTTGCTTCTAAAATGCCATGATTTTGCTTTTTGTCTTTTAAATAACCAGCCGCAGCACGGCATGGAGCTGCTACCTCTGCACTAGCTGGAAAAACGCAAAAATAAGAACCTCCACAAAACGTGCAAGATTTACTGAGGTAAGCTGGCCAACTAGGCAGCTTTAAAATGTGATAAAAGCTGTCAGCTGCGGGTCAAAGGTCTATTTGGCCAAGGGCGAGGGCCCACATGAAAGCTGGGAAGCCCAGGCAGCGTCAGAAGGCTGCCGGCCCTGCTGGGCCCAGTGCGATGGCTGTGGGCAGGCACTGCACCGTGCTGCCGCCGCTGCAGGCAGGATGCACACCTCCCCTGGGTGTTTTCTACAAGGTCCATTTGCTTTCCTAGCTTGGTCTCTTTGCCATGGGCTACGTCTATCATCAGAGTACAATATATGTGGCAGAAGTTTACTACAGCTCTCTGGGGAAAGCCGAGGACGGCCAGATGGGCTATTTAAGCTCAAGGTTTCTTCCGTTTGCTTACAGTGTTTAAAAATCTTTGGCAAACTCCCCCTTGTTGTCCTAGTAACTGCTTAGCCATCCAGCACAATATTTTTATACTGTATAATAATAACCAAATACCTTAACGTTTACTTTTTATGGATGAATTCCCAAACCAATTGGTTAGTATAGTCTGAGAGACCACAGTTGTCATAACTAAAACAATGCTGGTGCTCATCACAGGTTCCTCACCTTCCAGCAATAGGCTACCTCAGTTTATGATAAACCCTGGATCATTATCACAGCAAAGAGGATACTCAATAAGACAGCTGCAAGTGAAGCTCTCTCCTTGGCCTTTCCCCCAGCTCCTTTCTGCTCCATTTATTTTCACTGAGCAACCCTCGAAACTGTGCCAATATAGGAAGAATATAGGAAGAGTGGCCCATTCGCACAGCCATTAATCGTGTAAGTGGTCTTTCAACATCTATGAAGCAATTCGTATGAAAAACAGCTTAAGGAACAAATTCATTAACATAAGGGTAGGGGCACAGACATGCAGGCAGAACAGTGTAGGTGCTCTCCTCACCCTTTCCCTTCTCATTGGGAGACCCATTACAGGGATAACAAGTTCCCAACAAACAAAAATCCAATTACCAGAATAACCTTAGTGAGGAGTCACAGAGTGATTTTCCTTGTCATTTTTGTAAGTCGGCAGTCTCTCCTCCTGCTATTGTTCAGTGATTAATCACGCTGTAATTTTAGCAGGGTCAGGAAAAGCACTGGGTTAAATTGGCTGCACACGCACTGCGATGCAGCACCGTGATGTTTTGGGGAGACATTTGCCCCAGGGAGACAAACTAGAATAACTCCAAAGCTTTCAAGCGCGAGGTAACCCCAACCAGGGAACACAAACAGAGCAACTGCTAGGCTGCTAGGAAATCCCATTTACCGCAGGCAAGGATGCCAGCAGGGCCCCAAGCGCACTGTCATGTAACACTTGTTTATGAAGGAGGTTGTGGGATCCATTATCTTCATTTAGCAGCTCAGCAGCCACACACAGGAGATGAAGAACAGCTATGGCAGACTATGACAAGGCTGAGGGCTGCAGCCTGCCTGTAGACTGCTTGAGGGGAAAGCAAGAATAAACTTATTTCCCTCTCTGGAGGTTTCTGCATAAACAACCAAAACAGCAGCAGCAATACCCCAGTATTCTGTCAAGAGAATCAATTCTATCCTTACATAACAGTTGAAACTATGAATAATTTCTCCATCCAAAACTAAATAAGGAAAGGGAAACAAATGTTCCTGCTTACTTTTAACATCTGGTCAATCAAAAGGAAGAATAAAGTCAATTTAAAGTAATTTGAAATAGAAAAAGTCAGCCTAATGAAAATATTTGAAAGCATACATTCAAATGTATAGTATAGATACATACTGCCAACATTTAACAGCAAAAAAGATCTAGTTAACAGCGAGACTTTTTTTCATCTTGAGTTTCTAATAATTCTATCAACATGCGTTTCAAGCCTACTCTTTATTTTCATTCTTATGGAAGGTTTCTGTAAGGTTTTTGCAGGGGACTATTCTTTCCCTATCCATATGCTGTGCTGTTCATAAGCATGACAGAACTGACATGTGCTCATTAACTCCCAGACTCTCCCACTGCAACCCATGGCTCTTCTTCCCGGACCAAGCTCCCAGCCATCTGTTGCCTCCTACACATGTGCAGCTCTTTAGCCCAAGCACAGCCTGGCTGGAGAAGGACCCAGACTCTGTCCATCTCCTCTCTCAGCTCTGTAAAGAATATTGTCATGAAATCAATGCCTTTGTCCCTCCTCCCTTTAGAGCTTCACAATCAGGTCATCTTTAATACATTTCTGCTGCAAAATATTTTTAGATCCTGGCCTTTCAAGATCTATAATGCTTTAATGCTATAATGCTGAAATGCTTTCCAAGATCTTCATGTTCTATCTCTTGACAGGTACCACTCTTTTAAGACCTTGACAATTTTGTTCTTACACACATTTTGCATATTGCATAAAGCAAAGCAACACCCTTTATGACAGTTCTCCATGTAGTTCACTGACTGAGAACTAGCTTTGCTCTACTAATGCCAGAACTCACTGCTTACGGTTAAGATTTTCCAACAATCAGTCCTTCACGTTATCCCACGCTGCTTCCCCCTTCCTTCATCAAATGAGCTTCCCACAGACATCTGTAAAACCACTTCATTGTCCTCCCTAAAATCCCTTTATATTGACATCCCTCTGCTCTGTATCCTACAAAATAAACCTACAGAGTTGTGAGATAACCAATATGGGGTGATGACTATTTATTTTGCCTGAGCAGTGTCTGCTTTATTGTTACATTATGTCCTGCTAGCCTGCGTGTTTTACTTTAGCCTCCAACTTATATGGGAACTCTATTTTCATTTTCCTATATAAAGTAAGCACAACAGGAATCCAACACATGACTGTGGCAGGAAGTCAGAACTGCAATAGAAATTATAGGTAACAGAGACATGATTTTTCAATAACTGTATTTCCTAGTGACCATGAATTATCAGTTCCTTAAAAGCTGGAATGTCTATACAGCAGTTCCTCATAGCTGCTGGCAAGCATTCTGAGCTCTTACAGAGAGGTGTTTTGTTTAAAATAGTGAGGCTATCTGCAGGAAGCAAAACCAGTGACCTGGTTATGGATATACCTACTCATAGGAGTAAAAGTTCACTCCTAATCGGTATGTAGAGGAAAGTTAGAACACTAATCTTACACCATTTTCCTCTTCCTCGCCAGAGAGCACTATGAGTAAGAAATGTTTCAGATGTAAGAAGGTTGCTTCTGCCCCACTGAGCTACCCAATCGCAATTCAAAAAGGGACTTAGAAAACAAAAACAAACAAAAAATCCAACAACCTCTGAGCAAAGTATAATCTGAAAGCCAGGGAACAAAAGCAAAACCCAATTCACGTGGTCTCTGAATGCACTTCTGCCTCAAGAAGTACATTTCAGGGAGTGTTTACATGATGGCATGCAATTTGAAAGGTGTATAATACTGAAGAGAGGTGCTAAACTTAAAAAATGTGGTCCAGTTCTGTCAGTGATACGCACAATACCTATTGCAGCAAAGCCAAAATCTGCAATGGTGGCTGATTTCAACTGTCACATTCAGGAGTAAAAAGCCCTGATGCAAACATCCCCAACGTAGTTATTTGTAAATAACAATAAAAAAAAAGATTTAAAAAACATTCCCCAATGTGGATCCAGAGTCAGGCACACCAAGAGGTTTCCCAATACGGTAAGGGAAAAGTGAGTCGGGAGGAACAAACTGCAGAGACACTAAGAGAACTAAATGGGCAAGTAAGGCTACAAAATATAATCGATAATAATAGCCCACACGCACAAAGACTTACAGCTTTTAAATAGACTTCAAAGAAACAGACTTCAATCATTACTTAGCTACCTCCACAGCTGCAGTAGGTATTTTTATCTTCTTTTCCCTCCCCGAATACACTCAGGTGTCAAATTATATTTGGCACTTCCTAAATTCATAATCCTGACACGTTTTCCAGCACTCACTTTGTCACATCCACTGTTTCTTCAACTACTGCTATTCAGAGATAACATTTTTACTGTAGTAACACTACAACACTTCACCATTTAAAAATTAATGAAGTCACTAAATGAAGGATCTTCCAAACTGCTGAGAGCTGGCTGGTTGCTGCTCTCAGCAAAGCCAATCATCATTCCAGTTCCAACTGCAAAAACAACAGAGGCAGTGCTCAAGCAAACATTAATTTTTATCCCAAGAATGTAAAGAAACAAGGAACAAAAAACCAAACACTACAGCATTAACTGCATCTAATTAATGATAGTATCTATTTATACAGACCTTGCATCTGGTAGCTATAGGGAGCTTGTCCAGGTTGAGGTGTGCTAAAGCTGGCACTGTAGCTTAGAAATCCTGTCTGTCCGGGTGATTGGGACTGTGACAATCCACCTTCTGTCTTGATGCCTGCCCACAATGCACCTAAATCAGTTAGTGACAGCAAATCTATTTGTTCATATTCAAACAGGGATGGATAATATAATCATTTAATTGATAGCATTTTTAACACATTCTCACTGTTGCATGCATGAGAGAAAGAGTACTGAGAGTATGCACAAATGAAAAGGGTAGGGGCAGTTTAAAAGAACACATAAAACTGAAGTTCACCAGGGAGAGGTTAAATTCAAAACTGTGTTTCCAATAACTGCAAAAGAAATTTATACATGAACAGGAAGTTGCATTATTCCTTTTTTCCTTTCCTGCCAGAGGCTAGCTTTTCCATATATTCATGACATTTCACAGAGGCAGATTAGCAACTTTATATGATTTTAATGAACCATAGCATAGCCAAGCTCTCCCGCTATCCGCCCCTTTAATGACATATCTGAGATTTGCACTGGAGAATATTCCTACATGAAAAATACATGGCTTCAAGTGCATTCTAAGGAATTAAGCACCCTTTAAACAGTGGATAAAGAGAGCTATCAGCATAATGTGGATTTTTCAAAGCTAATTAAACACTATAGAATGCGTTCAGTCTTTTAACAAATAAACACCTAACAGACAGGAAATATTCCTGAAGTAATCTCACAAACTGGGAAAAACACAAGAGAGAGTCATTAATCTGCTCTGACAAGGAAATCCATTACACATCACCTCCTCATTACCAAATTTAGTAATGAGTCCAAAATTCAATTAAAAGAAATAACTTGCCTCTCAACTTTAGTGGTTCTTGCACAGATTTGTAAGGTAATAAGCAAGTAAATATCAGAAAAAGAAATACTCAGGAAATGCACACAATTCAGCTTCTGTCTCTTAGTTTTAATTAGAAGGTTGTCCTGACATGAACTACCATTTAAAAATAATTATAGCCAAAGCAATGGAAAAGTAATACAATACTCTTACATTTCACTATGGCATTCAGTGATACTTCATTGCTCAAAAGCCACAGTTATTTGAACTGAATTAGCTAAGTGAGAATTAGTAACGTTCTTTTGAAAATGACTCTTAATCTAAGCCCATTTCCTGGTGCAAAACTTAAAAAAATAAATAAATAGTAATATTCAACAATGTTTGAAGATGGAAAAGAACTGAAAATCTGTGGTGTTCATAAAACTTCAGTACCTCCCTATGTACAAATAGAAAGATATTTCCCTGTGTCTACTGAATCATTTTTCAGCTAGTGCCATTAATTATCCTTAATTCCTTCTGCGACACTCGTTAGCTGCCAGACTAACCCTGTTTGCTTGTTTTCCCCTGATGCTTGCTTCCTCTGTTTCACGTTACAAATAAACAATCCCAATGACGAATCTGACACCTCGTTTCCAAGAGGAAACTCCTGCTACGGATGCCTTGGTATCAACGATCTGTGTGTTTAAGGACTTCTGAAACACTGATTGAATACTACATAGAGAAAGTTTAACTAAGCATTGTATTTCTAGACTTCTCTCTTTAGCAGCCTGATTCAACTTACAATCTCAGACAAAGCAGGAGGAGGTGATCAAAGGCAGTGGCTGGAACATGCCACTTGAGTGAAGACAGCTTGGCACTGGCGTGCCCTTTTGCAAACCTCCATGCTATGAAGAGCCTTTCATCTTCTGAGACCTTCTCTTCTCATCTTCTGTCACCTAGGCCTTCACTCACCAAACCCTGGTGCTCCCTTCTCCTTAGTCTGAGTCCCACAAGGGACAGTGAAAAAAACAAAAGGGAACTTCTGGAAGTGAGACCTTTGCTAAACGCTGATACCAGGGCATGTAGGAGGAGGGAGCCTCAGGAAATTCTCCAGCCTCCTCAGTGGCTTTGCAGACGAACCAGAGCCAGGAGTGGCGGGAGGCAGCTGTCACTGGCATTCCTCCACCCCCCTTCCTGCCTTCAGGGCTGCACCATGGTGGAGATGTGGGAGTGGAAAAATGCCCAGAGTAGAGGTGTATTCAAGGCAGCACCTTCCCAAATTCTGCTCTGAAGAGAGAAGCTGAGGGGAAGGGCACTGGCATGTGAATTTGTGAACGCTTTTTTCCCCGCTGTAAGTCCCAGTGCTAAGAAATAAAAGCAGAGAATCTCCCCACTGCAACCCAAAGTTTTTCACATCTGTCAAAAGTCTCCTCTCTTTATACCTGCTGGAAACTCTTTAGCTGGAAGAAAGAAAGGCAAAGCATAGGATACATAATCTATGCTGCAGAGCCAAGAGGAGAATTTTGGCCCAAAACGAGTTCTTGCCTGCTGCAAATCAGCATCCCAGGGTTCTTCATGTAATTTATTCTGGGAACACGGATTATACAGTGTGCCTTGAATATGCAAAGCTGTGGTCTTAGCTCCCAGAACTTTGCTACAGTTATTTGCTGTTAAGTATTTCTGCTAGTTGATCAAGTACATCAGCAAGAAAAACCTTCACCCCTGTCAGAAGACACTGCCTGAAAAGAGCATCAAAGCTCACTTGGCTCGGGAGCCGGAGGTTTCAGTGGTAAAAGCAGATCTTCAACGTAAAACATTAAGATAAAATTATCCAAAGCCCTAAGCACAGGGGATGGACTGCGCAATAAAAACCCAAAACAAAACAGAAGAGCAGGCAGGCATGTTAACCCCCAGGGAGCAGCTGCCAAGTAAAGCAACTCTCAATTATAGCTGCGACGACAGTAAGACAGCTCAACTCAAGTTGTGAAATGATGGTACTGCTGAAGTTGGTGGGAGTTTTACAGTTGACTTCAGCGAGGTCAGGATTTCATCCAGAGGAATGATCCAAAACCAAAAAGGTCACTGTTTGGGCTGCCCAAGCCACCATGGATAACAAAGTGTGAATGCAAGGTGTGCAAAAGAGAAACGTGTCAAGGAAAACACAGTGGGGAAAGGGGTCATCTGTTATCACACCACCTGATCCAGCTGCAAATAGCAGACAAACTTTCAGCAGGAACACAAGCTTTTCTTCTTTGCAGAAGGAAGACTACCCACCTCCTTACCCTTGAAAACGTGTGGAGGGGGGAGGGGAGCGTTGTTTGTTTTGGTTGTTTGTTTAATATCGTCAGTATAAGTTTAAAATACATGGTGCTGAAACTTATGTTTATAAACTGGTTTTTGGCATTAAGTAATCAAGATTCTAACCACAGGAAAAAATGCTTCCTTGGATCATAATCATTGATGATATATTAATGAAATATTATTTTTTTTCGAAAGTGAAAATAACCTTCTACTTGCACCCATAGTCCACAGCAGTCTTACCCAGGATTTACTTAAGACCTGGTGGATTTCAGCTTGCAGATTTCAGGATTCACCAGCCTTCCACTGAAAAATTTTAATAATTTTACGGGGCATAGCTTGCGCTGTAAGTTCTTTCCTCTTGGTATAAAACCTGTATTACCTGAATGTATTTTTACAAAATGTACTGCTAAAAGCATATGGATCATATATTTTCAATATATTCCCCAAGAGGAATGTAAGACCTATTTTCTAATAATGCATCTTTGCTGCTGAACTGCTATGTGGTCTGCCAGCAGACAGTCTGGCAACAAAATGGTCTCACCCGCAGCAGCTTGTTTTTAAATTAAATTTTTTAGGGGAAATATTTGCTACTTAGTACTATCTTCTTCATCAGGCAGACAGAGGTCTGGTGGCAAATCACCTCAATCACCTCCAAGAGCGACAATGAAAGAGAGATTTTTGGTAGGGGTCTTTTCGAATCAGTCCTTCCCCTGACAGAAATCACTGATTCGTTTGGGTTCCAGTAATGTGTATCAGCCAAAATCCAGACCTTTATTTACCAAACTCCCCCTATTACATTGCTGGAGAGCACAACTCCTCAGCAAGTTACCGGGGGCTGTGCCTGTGTAATGGAAGTCCCTAGATCTCCCTGCTTCAGTGCTGTATTTTCATATCACCACTAAAAGCCTAACGAATCTCTCCTTGATCTCAAGACATACTCTTGAGTAACTTCTTAGCTCTTTAATACATAAATTAAGCTGCACAACAGGAAATTACCACTCTTTCACGAGATGCACTCAAGAGCATGGCTGTCCCGCTCAGCACTGATGCAGTAATCTTGCTCAAAAAACCGTTCACCTTGGGAATAAAAGCATAGCAACGTGGTTTCTTACCATAAGAAGGGATTCCATAGGGCTGGCCGGGCTGTGGGTAGGTGGCGTAAGCTGTAGCTTGTTGCATCCCTGTTGTAAACTGCGTCTGCCCATATGCAGCCATCGTTTGCGAAGAAGGGGTGGGAAGAATATGTGGGTATGGTCTGCTATTGATTACAAATGACAGAAAATAGGACAGACTGCATTAGATTGACGTACATGTAATTATTTTTAGCCGTATTATAATCCTGCTACTCCTCATTAACACTTAATCATAGGCTGCGCTAGGCAAAAGAAACTCTAAGATAGAGAGAAAACAACAATAATAAATCAGTAATAAAAGAATAAGTAAAATAAGAACTTTCCAAATATTTTTCAAATACATTCTTAGCATTAAAGAAATATATTTTTTTCCTAGAAGCTGCTGTGGTTTAAATTATGACTTAACAGATGGATCCAATTATTATTTTAAATGAGGTTAAAATCTGCCTTTTTCAGTTATTATTATTACTACTACTATTATTATTTTTAAAAGATATCATACTTGGAAGGGTAAATCTGTGGTGGGGAGAACTGGTGTGTTTGTCTTGGGCTGAAACCACTGCTTCCAATTGCTGCACCAAGGAGAAAAGAAAGCACACAGAAGTGTAAATATACACACCAAAGATAAATATTATTTTTCCTAATAGAATTTCAGAGTATTAACAAGATTTTAATTAAATTCAAATATCATCGATATCTTCGGTAGAAAATAATATTTTATCAGCAACTACACAGGAATGCATAACAGTAAAATCTTGATTACAATTTCAAGTACTAAAATGCTCCTTTGTAGAACTCCTGACCAATAGTTTATTCTTTGCTTGCACACAGACAACATTTTCAATGCAAACAATCTATTTCCTATTGGAAACATTTTCCTTCATATTTTCAAAGGATTACTGCTATCTCAAGTACAACATTTATTAACTTTTAGAATTTTTAAGACCTACATTTTATGAAGGAGCTTTATGCACGTCTCTATTGAAAACACATGGCCAGCTTCAGAGCACGTGCCTTTTAAAAATCATTCCAATAACGCATAAGGATGTACTACCATATTACACCCCCTTCTCTTTTACCCCATGTTACCTGCTTTTTAAAGTGCTCTCAACACCTTCAAAACACTCAGTATTACACAAAGACGTCATGATCAACGTGCAAATTGTCTTAGGGAAACACTTAAGCTTAAGTGAGTTTCTCCTCCCGCAGCTCAGCCCTGCAGGGTTCCCCCAGACCGGTCACAGCTAACACAGAGATTTCTGTCAATTCCCACGAAACTCCTGCAGTGTTTTGGGTGCTGTCAGGAGCATGCCAGACGCACCCAGGCTCTCTGCTCCTGGAGCTCTCTGCAAAAGCACTGGGAAGATAGTGCTTCCCTCTCCGGTTACCATTTGGGTGCCACTTCTCCACATCCCAAAGTCGATTTTGAAGCCTTTGCCAGGAAGAGGTCAGCTGCAGGTTATGAGACTACTGTAAAATCAGACAGCCAGAGAAACAACAGGCCCTATTGCTAAGTACTTGGAAATAAACAAGGCATGGATAATTACCCTTTGCCAGCTACCCCTTTCCTGGCCAACTACAGAGAAAATCCATCATCTTTACGCTCTCAGAGCCCTTGCGAAGTGTGGAGCAAAGCAGCGAATCTCTTTCTGTTCCTTCCACACCTGACATTTTTCTTCTCTGTGGTTACAGTCCCACCTGGAGCCAGATTCCACAGATGAATGAGCTACTATTAGATGCGCTACCTTTCCTTCCATCAGAGATTTAATAGAAACTTTTTTTTTTTTTCTTCTCCTTTAAAGATCGATATTTTTATAAGCTGCAGCTTGCACAGAAAATGGAAGCTGTTGCAAGATCAAAAAAGGGCTGGCTACTTAGATCCTAACTGGTGGCGAGCTGGTAGATTTTGCTACTCTGCCAATGTAACTCTATGATCTTTTTTCATTTGATTTTCACCATAAAAATGATGTGCTAGAAATACCAGGGTTAATCCATAGGTATGCAAAACTGTGCAAACATTTTAGGATTTTCTCACAGTATTTTATCTCCTGTGTAGTAGCAGCTAAGAAAGGTTTGGCTTCGAGGAAGACTAAGAGACTGACGAAAGAATGCCTTGATAATATAAGTACAAACAAACTAAAAATTACCCATCCCTCAGTTACATCACAAATTACAACAGCAGGTATATTTACATCCTGAAAACTAAAAAAAATAATCCCTTTGGGACAGAATGCTGCTCAGGTCTCTAGTGAAGACACCAGTGGACATCAATAAAAGCGACGCTGTATTGCTACTTCCTTAAGGAAAGCTCCTACTTCCTTATACTGCCTGAATAAAATGAACAGAAATCAGCTGCAAAGTGTACAAAAACTTTCCAGCAGCCATGCAGGGGTTTAGATTGCAGAGAGAAAGAACAAAGTGAATGAAAAATTGCTGAGCTTAAGCCTTTGTTTATTCCTTACCTGATCCTGAGAAATTGTCTAAAGACCCGTCTGTGGTAGTAGTAGTAGTAGCAATCTCACTGCTGCTCATTGGTTCTGTTTTAACTATAGAAATATAAATAAAATATATTCTATATGCGCCTAATATTCTTGCACACGCATGCACACACATTCACTACAGTCACAAATTCAATGAAACAGAAATCTGCCCAAAAGTTTTAAATCATGGTTATCAATAATTTGCATGTTGTGCATTTGTGTATACAAACAATGCAAAGTACTGGTAGCTATGATTTGCACATTCATATAACATGACCGCAAGGGTTATTTCTGTCCGCAAGGAATAAGAACTACTGTAATAAACCAGAAGTCCCCATGCAACTCCCTGCACCTGTCCTGACTCCTCTTAATCCTGCAGACCCAACAATAAGAGTCCACATTTAGATCAGGTCATACAGTCATTTACAGGCTTGAAAGACAGCAATTTGGATAAGACAAAAAAAAGGAAATAATTTTTAAATTGGGTTCTCTGAGGGCTGTTCCAAACTTTTTCCATCCAAACAACTTTTCAGAAGAAAAATGAGAATTTCCAATAAAGCAAAACACTTTCCTCATGCTGGATTTCTCCTTGCAAAATGGAAACCAATTTAATAGTCGGAAACCTTGAATGAACAAAGAGCAGAAATATGCTTTATGGAATGCTTTACATTTTATTCCCTTCGCGCTCCAGACCCAAAGTGGCTGTCAGAGAGTAAGAATGAATGAGGAGAGATACCCTCTTGCTACTCCATATTCAAGTATGGCTTCATGGTTTTCAATAAAGCCTCAGGAGAATAAGTGTATTTCCCTTGGTGTTAGCATAGTGTTATCTCAGTACTGATGGCATTCCAATACATAGATCTACAACAGGGCTAACCTGGTGTGGTGTAGACAGACACCGTGCCCACTCCCAGAAAGTTGTCACATCAGCACAGCAACCTCTCAAATCCATTCTACATTCCTAGCTTTTGGAATTAGAAGCACATCAAAAGCACCTGAGGATTCATAAAATGACAGAGCTGACCTTACTACTAACATCTCACTGTTTTTGCTCCTGTTGACACAGTCACTGCTTCCCACGCATCAGAGGTGGTGCCTATCATCTCACCTTCCAGGGAGGCAGTTCAGTACAACTGCAGAAAATAAATCCACAAAAAGCAAGATAAACTGTGTTCTATTTGATTCATAAAACCTCTTGTGTGAACTTGTATGTTTCTCTCTCTGTCTAGGAACTGCAACCATCATTAGCAGATGCCCTTTGGGTGCGAGGTTTGCAAGGAGCGAGAGAGGTGGAATCTTCCCCTTCTGACGAAGGACCTTTTCTTTCTCTGCTAAACAAAATCCTTATTTTCACATGCCTACTTCCTACGCTTGATCTCTTCCAAAGGATTTAAGTGCAATCTCTCGAGCTTTTATTAATCAACAAGTACTTCCTTTTCTCCCTCACACAGGATGTTTTGTTTGCTCACACTAACTCGGAGATCACTACAAGCAGGATTCTGCTGCATCTACATTAACAGTCTAACAAAGTGAAACGATTGGTGAAGAGGGTCCAGAATCACAATTTAGGCATTTAAGAGGGATTACTTCATGCAAGTGTAGGCTTTTCCTAAGGAGCAAGGGCCCAGATGCAGCTGGATCACACTGGCTGCACTCCACATAACACCTTTTTTTAAAGGGGTGGACTCCAAGAACTCTCCAGAAGGTGACCTAACCTGTGGTAAGAAGTGGTGGCCAAGAGGTTCTTTTCAAGAAGATGCATTCATCATCCAAACCACAGTGCTAATGTCAGAGTATCTCTCAGAAATACAACACATAACGTATCTGGCACCCATTTCACACTTAAATACTGAAAATCCAATAGACAGATGCAACAAAACGTTTGAAGTGTCTACCCCAAGGCATTTGCTGGAAATTACTAGATAATATGAGACAAGGTTTGTCATTTAGATATCAAGAATTGAAACTACGTTATCTCTTGCTTTTTTCTAGAAGTTCATTATAAAATTTTACTGTCTGGCTAATATATTTTTCATAGATTACTCCAACTTTCTCCAAACCTTGCAAGTGTTCCTCATCTAATTTCCATAATCCAATTATATCTTTGGAGATAACAATAAAATATGCTTTTCTCAATTGCTGACAGCTGTGGAGGAGGAAAAGAAAGAATGATGAGACAGAACAGCCTAACTTGAACTGTAAGGATGGAAAACTTCAGTATCTGATTTCTCCAAGCTCCTCTATCAGAGAAAGAATTCTTCTACTTCTTATAAAATAAAACATAATTCTTTTCGGTAAGTTTGGCTCACTGCAAACTAACAGTCCAAGAGCAACACCGAGACACATATTTGGCACCATTTGTTCTAAATAACGTTTTCCAGGATAATTTCTTTCTAAGTGGATGCACCTGTCTCTCCTGTCACTGGTTTAAAAGCCTACTTCACATGCACCACTGGCCACTCTTCTTATATTCAGAACCTTGTAAAAAAACCCAATATTTTGTGAAAAAACTCCTCAAAATGGGATTTCTGTCTCTGACTTGGTGTGACAATATTTATAATTGAATGTCATTTAGTAAGTATACTACTTTTGAAGATATAGGAAAGGGAAAAAATAATGAAGAAAGCATTGCAGTGGATTTCATACATGGATGCCAATTCTATTTGCTGACTGAGATGCTCTCAAATTCAACATCATAACTGTTCCATCTGTCTCCTCTCTCAGGTATATGAAAAATGAGTGAAGAAAGGCTGTTCACATTGTTCCCAGATACCTATTTGTAGGGTCATAATAAATTAGCCCTATCAGGTCTTCTTTAAGAATAGCCATGACCTTGCACAGACCTTTGCTGCTGGAGCTGGTTGGGAACTGAATAAAGAGGGTAGGAACTGAAAAACCCTTAATTCCCTGAGCATTTTAACCAACATGGCTGTAAATGTCAGTGTATTTTCTTCTGTCTGTGCTTAAAACCATTTCAAGAGGATTAAAGCTCGCTATACAAAAAAAAACTGAGACAAAACAACCAGGGTTTTACCAGCCAGAAATGTTTACTGCATGGACTCTCACAGCAAAGGAAGGCCACTCATTTGCTCAGGACAAAGTGTGACCTGCAAACAGAGCATATTTCAAGGGGAAAAGAGCTGTGAGAGGTTTCCGAAGGTCACAAGTCTGCTACTCTGTCCCAGAAGTGCTTCAGCAACCTGCATCTGTTAGGAGGATGCACGGAGCTGCCTGAGAAGCACAGATCTGGCAGGGCACAGGCATGGCCATGTAGCAGTTTCTGCATGCACACTCTGGATTTCAGCTGCCCATGTTTTTCTCTGACCAGCGCATTTCTGCCACATGTTCTGTGTTTTTGTGGGACAGCACCTGTGTGGGAATATTGCCTCATTTAGACTGAACACATTGTAAATATCCCTTTCCAATAATTTCCAACAGCATTCTCCATTGTGGCAGAGACCAGAGAGAGCAAAAAAAGAGTTCCCGTTTCTGCTCCATTATCAAAATAGAATTTTCAGGGGTGCAGAATAATCAGACTTGCACTACAGAGACAGGCTTTGATTTAGTAATTTCCACTAAGTTTTAACACCTGCAGAATCACTCATGTAGTAAGTGACTGAATCATAGAATGGTTTGGGTTGGAAGGGACCTTAAAGATCATCTTGATCCAACCCCCTGCTATAGGCAGGGACACCTCCCACTAGACCAGGTTGCTCACAGCTCCATCCAGCCTGGCCTTGAGTGCTTCCAGGGAGGGGGCATCCACAACCTCACTGGGCAACCTGTTGCAGTGTCTCACCACACTCACCCTCAGTAAAGAATTTCTTCCTAATATCTAAATCATCTACAAGAATTTAAAGGATAAATATATTCCTAACCTACTGAAAAAAAAAAAAAAAAAAAAAAGTTACTTAAAATAACTGGTTGGAATTTGGTTTTATACTGAGAACTCTAACAATCTGTGTCAATAGAAAGCATTTTTTCCTCCTTATTTTCTAGTAACTTATGGGATTCTAAAAATAAGATTTAAAAAGAAACCATCAAAGAAAACAACAGACTAGAATAATAGGAAAACAAATCAGGACTAGCAGATAATCAATAACACACACGCTAGCCCTGAGAAAAAAAGCATAAAATTTCTGACATAGCATAACTGCTGATCCAATATCCTATTGATTGTCAAGATATTTCATCTTAGGTCATTCACAGATTGCAAGTGCAACATGCAGTTTGGTCAGCGCTATTATAGAAGGTGGTTGATAATGACTACACAGCAGTTTCTGACCTGCACTGAAAAAAAGAAATTCAGACCAGCATCCTTATGTTCACTTATTTACCATGTAACAACTTTCTGAGCTGACAGATTGTAATGAAGTCACTGGCATATAGAACAGTATAGACTGCTTCAAGGAATGTGATGTTGGCTGTTTTGAAAATGGATTTAGAAGCCTAATGTTTGGCCATTTCTAACACAAAATTCATACAGATATATTACAAAGATTGCACCTTTAAGCATGCAAAAATATGATTTAAAAATATTTTTTGAAATATTTTGATTATTTAAAATACATCCAAGGCTTGCTTTACTGAACTAGGCATAGTGTGTTAGCTGCAATATTACAGATGTTAAACCAGAACAGAAATACTGTGAACATCGCTGAACTATTAAATCAGCATCGGTGTTGCAGTTTTAAGACTGCATTAATACGTAAGTCACTTCAAAAGTAATGCCACCTTTTTATTTCCACAGAAACTGCAACAGATACTAAGAATAAAATAACACTATCTAAGAGAGCAAACTCTCAACTACAAAGTACTATTTTTCAACATAGTCACCATGACTAGCTTTGCATTTTCACCAGCGATGAGCAAGAGCCTTCATGCAGACTCATAGCTATCTGCACCAGCGGAGGTGACCCATTGTTGCTCCCTCCACTGCTGAAACACACCACCCACCACCTCACTGTTCACGCATCCACTGTTTGGTCTCCAGAAATGTTCAGCAAGCAATAGTGGGTGCCATTTTTTCAACATGAAGGAATTAAATCCCACACCATTTCTCCACA